CCCCCCCCCCCCCCCCCCCCCTTCAACAATGTCCTTGAGAAGAACCACCGATGGCTCTATTGTAGTAACCTGTGCGTGCCACTGGTATCCGTCAACTAACCGCGTGTCCTTGGCGGTCCACCCGGTCTCAGGCCGGACGCCCGTGTCCCGGACAGGGTCATGTTCGAGGACATCGACATCCCCGTCCGGGGCGGAGTCCTCACTGGCAGCAAGGCGAAGAACGTCATGCCGCAGACGGCGGCCATCCTGTCTTTTCAGTCGGAGGAAACCGCTCGCCTGATGAGGGACATGTGGGACGGAGGAGTGCTTCGTCCGCAACACGTGGGTTTGTTTGCCTTGGATTGCTCGCTTTGGGTTGCTTGAGCAACATGTCGTTGTCGTTGTCGTCGTTGTAATGTTCGTTTTTAGTTTTTTTGTGCCGCTCTTTTTTCTCGGTCCGGTTGATTTCCAGGCCTTTTGTGAGGTTGGCAGAGAAAAGGTTTCAAGAGAACCAGGCGTTTGCGGGGATGATGTTGCCCGCGGTAGGCGCAGGTAGGCCTCTCGCTTGTCGCTAGAGCAGTAGTCTACTATTTTCTGACGATACTGTGGCGACGTCGTTTATTTGTGCCGGGTGTAATGGTTGCCGTCTGTGTGGCCCCCTCCAGCTTCACTACACCGCCGCTGCTGCCGCGTGGACTTTGTAGAAACAAGTGTACAATACATACGGCTAACCGTTCGAGATATTCTCCCATAGGGGATGTGTGCGATGAAGCCTCTAACAACAATGAGTGGGGACAGGGACTGTATTTTTTCACGTATGCTGCCGTCTTGTTCACGGGGCAACCCTGTCAGGGTGGCAAAACCTAGACGGTGGCAAGAGCCGCGTTTCTTTCTTGAGCACCATACTCGAGTTATTCCCTGCCGATCCACCCACGGGATCGTCTGCTCTGGCACGTAGAGCACCTCCGAGCAACAGACGTCCGCGATCCAGACCAAACGCAGTGTTGTTTCTCTCCTATCTCTCTCTCTATCTCTATCTTTATACTGCTGTTTTTACACGATGCGTGTGTTCAAGGCGAGAAGGGATTCATCGAGAAGCCATCCTCCACCCCCCTCTTGATGCCGGTCCTCGCCCCCCTCCCCCCCCCCCCCAAACTCAGCCGCGGCGTATGGCGGTGAGGTTTAGCCTCGGACTCAATCGCAGCTGCATCTGGATCGGCGCGTTCAGCGGGAAGCAACTGAGCGCCGTCGAGCTGATGGATTACGCCACTCGGACATGGCCCCTCGACACGGTCATGCGGCCTGTTTTTTCGGAGGTCCCGTCCAGCGTGGAGTCAGTGCACCTGACCTTCCCGTCTTGCTTGTCCGCAAGGTGAACTTGTGTACCTACTTTGAAGTAGTTTTTAGGAGCGAGCGGTGAGAGGGGTGTGGGCCTTGAGTGCTGATGCGTTTCTCGCTCTCTCTCTCTCAATCTTCGCTTCCAAGTTTGTAGGGCTTTCCGCCTAGCATGGAAGGCATAGAACCGTGTGAAGAACACATCCAAGCGAAGAGACAGAAGGTAAACACGTTTTCCGAGCATGATCCCCCTCTAGGAGCTTATTACGCTTGAACGAAAAGCAACAGCAATAAATAATTAAGCATTAGGGAGAGAGAGGCCTACAAGTACGAGGGGTTGTTGAACATTGGGGGAGGAACACAGTTTTGCCAACTCCCCAATTCTTCCTACTTCGCACGGGCGGGAGTTCGGTCGCTGCTATTTAGTGCTCTTTCGTACTTGTATTGCTTTTTGCGCCCTCGCGCGGCGGCGAAGGCGATAATGCGAATTTTGTGACGGCGTGTATACCGCTACGTACGTACACCCGTGTGTTTCGCGGTTGCCGCGGAACACATGACGAACCATCTACATGTACGGCACGCATGCCGTTCTCATGCGTCATATCCCCGCCGTCGAAAAAATCGCAACATGTGGTTTACACATGACCGTCCATATTTGCGGCGGAATCACGTCGTCGGCCTCCCCCCCCCCCCTTTTTTTTTTCCACTCTGAAGGGACGCCATTGAAGGCCTCCGGAGCAACCATGTGGGGAAACAACTACCGGACGCAGAAGCGTCAGACGGGCGTGCGGACGGCGGTGTCGGGTACATCGCCGGCACATCTTGCTCCGTCCTCTTCTCGCCGCTGCTGACGCTGCCCGCGGGAAGGTCTTACCGCGTCGGCGAGCTTGGCGCGCAACGGGCGGCGGCCGCTGCTGCGGCGGCGGTCGCGGGGACCGGGGTGGCCGGGGACGGTGGCGGTAACGGCGGCGGTAACGGCGGAGCTAGAAACAACGCCAACGGCGTGAGGAGCCATCCGTTGGCCTTGGGGGGGAAGAGCGGACCCGTCGCTATCGGCGCACAGGCCGGAACACCGCAGCAGCAGCAGCAGCAGCAGCAGCAGCAGCAGCAGCAGCAGCAGCAGCCGCTCGGCCTCACTGCCGATCAGATGGCGGCCGCGGCCTCCGCCACCGCCGGTGTCAACGGGGGCGGCGGCGGCGGCAGCGCGTCTTTGTCTTCGGGAGCGGCGGCGGGGACCGTAGCTGCGCCGGGGGGGGGTGTCAATGGCGTTGGCGGTTCCGCTGGCGCTTCCATCGGCACCACGGCTTCAGCCAGGGATTCGGAGATCGCCGCAACCCGGGGTGGGACCCAACCGGGAGGGACATCTGCGGAGGGCGAGAGCGAGGCCAGGTTGCCGACAGTAGGCGGGGGGGGCTCCATGGTGACTGCGCGTGGCGGAGGTGGTGGGGCACCGACAAGTGGAAAGGCCGTGGCGGGTCCTGCTGCTGCTGGTGCTGCTAACGTTGCTTGTGCTGCTCCTAACGTTGCCGCTGCAGCTACAACAAGCAATGCTGGAACAGCAGCAGCGGCAACAACGAGCGGGATTGCTGCAGCAGCAGCGTCGACGACTGGGATGACGGTGGGGCGCGAGGGTAGCCGGGAGCAGGGCACCGCTAGCGCCGCCGCACACAGAGCAAGGGGGCAGGTGACGGGAGGGGGGCACGAAACGGAGATGGTGGCACAGCAGCGCCAGCACCAGCTTCCGCATCAACACCAGCCGCACCCTCGGCATGTTGAGCACAACAATCACGGCGGCCTGGTCGGGCGTGGTGGCCACGAGGTCGACAGGGGGAGCTACTTCGTTTCAAGGCCGTCCCCTAAGGCTAGTTTGGATCAGGTGCGTCGTCGTACAGTCAGCAGAGGTCCCTGTTTACTACCGGTACCCGACATACTGCCGGTGTTTTCGGTGGGCACACACTGAATTTCCATGTCATTCTCAATACTGTGAGTAGTGCCGGTCCGGTATAGTGCCGGTAATTGTTTTCGGGCGCATCCTGCTGTACCGGCCTAAACAGGGACCTCAACCGTGCCTACAAGCTTGTGCCTTGCCTCCTGACGCTCTCCTCCACGAACCGCGGTCCCCGGTAGCGAGACGGCCCGTTTCCCGGACGGTGCGTGTACTCAGCTACCTTTGTGTGCAGTTATTGTGTGCCCTCGGAAAACGTCTTTGCTGAGTAAGAGAAAACATTGTCGAGGGGCGGGTGCTCATGTTTTGCATGCCTTAGCGGTTAGACCATTGAACACGCGTCCTGGAGAGGACAGACCGTTGTTCCCACAGGACCGATCACCGATGGCCAATCGTTCCTTCCCACTTTGCCATAGGTGGCTCAAAAATGCCGTCCCTAGTCTATCAATCCTATCGATATCACCGCCATTTCAACCCACTTCCTATGCCCCAGTACAGCTACCGTCAAGTGGGGGGGGGGGGCGCATCTTTGCGTCATGAGTTGCCTTCTGTGAGTCGCCCTGGCTTGAGTATATCATGTCTGCCGCTGTCGTTCGCTTCCCATGGCGGTAACCAACCTATGTGCTTGCCCTGGTGTTTCCTCGAAACAGAGGGACGATGATCGGTATGTCCGAATACTGGACATCGATTCGGACCCTCTCTACCAAGCGGTGCTAGACGCGTGCGACCGTGTCGGCAGCTTCCGGGTCGTCGGCTGGTGCAAGAGGCGGTGGCTGATGGACATCCTCTTCGAAAGCCGAAGGTGACGGAAGGCAAACGCTCAAGTTTGTCCCCCACAGTAGTTGTTTTAGTCTTTCCTGAAGCTCCCCCGACACTACAGCAGTAGTAGTGCTGCCGTAGTACCCCACGTCTGTCGAGTGTTTCCTCGAGTTCCCCCCCCGGCGCTACTGCCGCATTATAGTACCCTACGCCTGTCGAGTCTTTCCGAGACTCGCCTCATTCTGCCTTTCACGTTTCGTTTGGCACACGATCTAAAGTCTTTCTCCCACAAAACCATTCGGCACACGCGGCAGGGATGCCGCGGCGGCGCTCGACGACATCGACCACCTTCGGCTCGCCAGCTCCCGTTCTCGAAGACCGATCAAGGTGACGCGCGACACGACTTTGTTGTGTTTTTACTTTTTCATCCCATCCATGCTAGGCGCCAGTCTACATACACCCTTTGGGTGTGTTGCCTGTTTGACGCACCAGCCAGAGCCACACGGGAGGAAAGTTCCCTCGTTTTACGAAGATGTAACGATTCTGGTAAGAGTCAGTCGAAGTATACCCTGGGAATCGGATCCTCCTTAACAGCTTCCCGTTGTGATCCAGACGTTACTGCTTACCCTTGAATGTGTTGCCAAGCAACGTTGTCGGTTGTTGCCACTGAAGTTGTTGCTGTCATCGGTAGACGAATACATCTGTAGGCGAAGGTTTTGGGGGAGAAAGGGTCCGTGGGCACTAACCCCCCGCCCCCCCCTTCCCCCGCAGACCCTTCTCAAGCCAGCCCGGTTCGACGGAGGATTTACCAGCAACGCGTCTCAAGCGGCAGCGGCACCGGTGCCGAGAGTGTGGCCATCGTCGTCCACTTCTCGGCAAGCACCGCCCCCGGTCAACAGCATTCAGCAGCAGCAGCAGCAGCAGCAGCCGGGGGCGGCGGAGGTAGCAGCGGCAGCGGCGGCGGTGGCCGCGCAGATCGCCGTCGCGAGCAAGGTCCCCGACAGCGTGTTCCCCCCCGTGGCGACAGGAGCAGTTGGCGGCGGCGGCGGCGGCGGCGCCGGGTCTGGTATCATGCCGCAGCAGGCAGGGGCGCCGCAGTATGCGCGAGGGGGTGCGTTCCCTGGGAGCTTTGCCTCCGCCCCCCCGGTGACGAGCAGGACTACGGGCGTTCAACATCACCACAACTATCAGCACGGAGGGCAGGTGGCGCCCAGCGGCCGGGGGGCCGGCGGCTGGGACGATGGTCGGGGTGGCGGTGCTCTTGGCGCGGAGATGCGACCGCAGCAGTTCCCTCCGCCGGATGTCCCCCCTGTCAACGGGTGGAGTACCGCTGGGGGCGGCGTCGGCAACGTTAGCAGTAGCGATCGTGGTAGCAACAGCTGCGGGAGCAGCGATGGTGGGTTTTCGGCGGCGGCGGTGGGCAGCACGTTGCAGCAGCAACATCAGTGGTCGGCGCCAGCGCCGCCGCCTCAACAGCACCACCACCCGGGAGCAAGCCGGAAAAGAGCGCGTAGCCCGGCTCGTATCCAGGACGATCACGCGGACCGGATCCAGCCCCCCAACCACCTTGCACAGCAGCAGCAGCAGCAGCAGGCGCGAGCCTTGGACGGGGTTAGCATGCAGCTGTCTCAGACCACTCCGGCCACCCGCAACAACGCGATCGTCGGCATCGCGCCGTCTCCGGTCAGCCCACCGTCTCCCGACGGGGTCGTCGGTTTCTCGACGTCCAAACCCAGCGGCGAGGCAAGACCGGAGGACATCGAGAACGGCGGCGGCCTTGTCGGCAGCGTCAAAGCTGAAGTTGGCGGTGGGCAGGCGGGGGCGAGCGGCAGAAACAACGCCTTTTTTCCTTCGTTGAACTCCCGAACGGCTGCTGCCGTGGAGGCGCAAGGCGGCAGGGAGAGTGGCGGAGCCACCGCCGCCGGCAACAAGCTCTTGTCCAACCACCCGTGGACCGCCGCGGATGCGGGCAAGGGCGGACAAGGAGCAGGCGTGCAACAACCAAACGGTGCCAGAAACCCTGTGGGCGACGGGCCGCGGCAGCAGCAGCAGCACTCGGTGCCGGCGCCTGCGACGTGGGAACAGCAAGGACGACAACAACAACAACGACGACAACCAAACTGGATGACGCACAGCCCTCTTGCCTTTGGCGGGAAGCCGCTCGCCGAGCTTGGAGCACGGCCGTCGTCCCCGGGGTCGGGGCTCATGATGCCGGGGGGGACGACACCGGGGCTGCGGGTGCCGAATGGGGGATGGTCGAATGAGTTTTCGGGTCTTCCGATGCAGGTGGGATTTTTTTTTTTTTTACCATCTGTTTGTTGCGTAAAAACGCAAAAAAATGTTTTTTTTTTACCCGTGAAGAGGTTTTTGCTCGTGGACAGACGGCGGCTCGAAAGCAACAGATAATGTTTCTTGGCCCTTTGGATGGCGGTCCTCTCCGTGCCGCACAGTCCTGGCCTCCCTCGTTAATTGATGTGATGGGAGGTTCTTACAGCAGAGCTGCTTGCTGCACGCGTCAGACAAGAGCTTCATTTCGGAAACAGATCCGCACGGGTGACGTTTGGTTTGAGTCGACCACATGTCCTGATATATCGAAGATATCCCCCGGCACAGCACTGCTGCACTGCTTTTTTTTGTTCTTTCTTTTGAACACCGACCATGATTACACAACAGCAATCCCACCTTCGACGGCGTGTGTGTCATATTCCGGTATGGTTCCCATAGGTCAACGATGTAGTTCCCCACTCAGTCTCCGCTCGATCTCTCGCCTTGCTCTCTCTTACCAGCAGCCAGGGTTGGTGGAAGGAGGAGGAGCGGTGCGGCACACAGCTCTCGGCGGTGGTGGTATCATGCACGAGAAGCAGCAGCAGCAGCAGCAGCAGCAGCAGCAGCAGCAGCAGCAGCAGCAACAACCGCAGCAGCAGCGGCACCCGCCGCCGCCGCAGCAGCAGCAGCAGCAGCAGCCATACTTGTCGACACAGCAGTACCAGCACCAGCACCAGCAGCACTTCCACGCGCAACCTGCCGCGCCCCAGGGGTCTTCCAATGCCCTCAGGGGCCAGATACCATGGGCGGGGCAAGCCCCACCAGTTCCTGCCCCCCACCAGCAGCACCAGCGGCGGCAGCGAACAGAACAGCCGGGGGTTGGGGAAGGCAAAGCGGGCGCGGTTTCCGCGGCGATGATCGGCAAGGGAACGAGTCTCGCTAGCGGCCATGTTGAGATCTAGGGGGGGGGGGGGGTTGCTGTGTGTTCCCCAGATGTGTCTAGGGTTCGTGATATCGCTGAAGGCATCTCAGGCAACGAGAGTCTTCGGCCCTGCTTCACATCGCACCATCTCTTGGTTGCGAGCGATTTGTTATTTTTCATTCTCTTTGTCCGACGACGTTTGGACAGCGATCGGGACGCTTACGGGTGTAGATTTGTTTTAGGTCTTTGATCGGGGTTTATTTTGTCGCAACGCCTGTAGTATGTAGTGCGAAGAGGAATACCGGCTGGGAGTGGTATTGTTTGGGTCGGAAAGATCGACAGCCGCGATATATTTGGCGTCGCTTGTCCATAGAAAGGCTTCGTCCGATGTCGCATCGCTTACTCTCTCCTAGTATTCGGCATGGAATCCCTAGCGCCTGGAACGCGAGAGGGTAGAATGTAGGGCGGTTTTGTATGTAGACCATTTGGAAGAATGTTGTTTTAACCTGTTCGAGACGCGTTTGTCTATGCCTGTATCAGGTCTTGGTTGCTGCTTGCTGCTGCTGCTCCGTTGTCAAACAAAGAATACACGGGGAGCTGAGACTGAGCTCCGTGTGTTTGTAACTTTGTGTTGATCCTCGGGGTGTGTATTTATTGCATTTAATAGTTTTGTGCAGAAGGCGCAGCAGCAGCAGCAGCAGCAGCAGCAGCAGCTGTCTGGTGCGGGTCATAAGTCGATTCATAGGTACGTCTCAGGGTATCGAAATGTGTAGTAAACCCCACGGGTTATCGGAGGAAGTCCTTTCTGAAGGGCATGGCGGGCAATAATAGTAGTGGCGAACCGAGCCATGTTTTGCTCTAGCCTAGAGTTCGGCATTGCCGTTGTTTATGTTTGGCCCTTGATAAATTTAGGCATGAGTTGACATGATCCATCATCCTCAAAGTGGCGCGCATGCTCTCTGCAGGGCGCACCCACACGCAATTTGTTTTTGGGTGTACGTGTTGGGGAAAAGGCTTGGCGGGCGTATATCCCCGGCGGCGACCATGCCCCGGAGAAGTGATGAGTACAAACGAGCAAGTGTTTCAAAACTACTCAACCGTACTCACGGACCGGGTTTAGTGTACTTAGCTCAAAATCGTCTGTCTTGATTCATGATCTTGGATGGTCACCTTGGTTTTGTTTTTTTTTATTGCTTGGGATCGCGTGCCGAGCAGGAACGATGAACTTTCGCGTTTTTGGGTCGGATGGCGCCGACGTGTTTTTTTTTTTTTTTTCTTAATACATATGACACAACGAATCCATCTCTATCTGAGAAATATTTTGCGTTCTCTTTTTTCCGGGTTCGCGGGTCTGCCGCTTGTTTTTTTGTGATGCCACTATTTACACGCCCTTATTTTGAGTGTTACTTGAGGTCCTTTCATTTCTTTGATTCGTAGAAAAGGGTGTGGTACCCCCTTGTTTGGGTAGTTGACCTGTACCCGCGGAAGGTGTGTGCGTCAGTGGGACCAGTGCAGAGACGGGGACGGTTTTTAATGTGAAGACAACAACAGCAACCTTTGCTCGTTTGTTGGGACGAGAACGCTTGGTAAGAAACGACAGAGACTCCGGAACAAAACATACCGTACTGCTAACCCGGTGCATGGGGGGCACATGCCGGGAGACTTCGGTGTTGCGTTGCTTTTGACGTTCACAGCAATGATGCTGTGCATGTATGTGGCTGTGAGACTGGCCGATGGCTGTTATTCTCTCGGGTGTTCAACCTCGCTGTAACGCTGTATGTAACCTCACAACAAGGCACATACATCCAGACGATGTGGCTGTTAGACTGGCGGTGTGGTGGCTGTTTTTCTCTCGCATGTTCAAGCTCGCTGCAACGCTGTAGGGTCACGAAGCAGAACTGCAGCACTGCATGCGGGCATGCAAGTGATCGTGATATCCTGATCACAGGTCCAGATCCGGACCAGTCCAGACGTCCAGACTCCAGACTCCAGACAATCCAGAAGATGAACCGGCACCCCAGAGGTTCTCTGCGGCGGAATAGCGACCGGTTTGGACTGCATCCGAGCTGGACGCCAGGTGCGAGTGAGCAGTTGAGTAACAACGCTGATGGAGCTTTCACCTTGTCTCGCCTGAGCCCGCAACTCGGCGGGGCTTGACACTCTTTCAGCAGGGCAGTCAGTGCCGGTATGGCGTCAAGGAAAAAAGTATGGCCGAAGGTGGTCGACGATCCAAACTCTGGGACCAGGGGCAAGAACAAACGCGGCGGCGGTGGTGATAACATTGGCCGACCAACACAGAGTTTCCCTCTCACTCCACCCGCACCACAGAACCGGGTGTTTGGAAACGATGGTAATAGTGTCGGCGACCTAAACGGTGATGATATTCATGACGCGAGTAGTTGGCAACCACCCACGTACGGCAACGACACACAGGACATGACTTGTGACACGATGGGAGCTCCTCCCAACGCAGAGTCCGCTGACCAGAGAAACACGACTCCGGCCAACGGCGGGGATCAAGCCCCTGAGCTTGTTGAGGTAGATGCCAGCACAGCGGATTCTATGGCGCGAAGAGACAAGAGTGACATGCGCAGCAGCGGTGAGGATACTGCCTGTGTTGTTAGCATCTGTCCGTGTACGGTGAGCAGTCGTGTCCTCTTTCGAGTAAGTCTATGTATGTGACCACGGGAATCGACCGCGCCGAGTGTTGGATCAGTACGGACATACGAAGGTACTGGGTAGAGAGAGAGATCGGAACGGTTTTTAATGTGAAGACAACAACAACAACAACAACAACAACAATGTATGCAAGTACGCGTACGTGCAGTCTACAAAAATGTTCATTGCAGCTGGTGTCCCGAATTATGTAGGAAGGACGACACCATCCGATATCCACAATATATTGAATGTTTGCCGGCCCGGCCTCTACTAGTCGCTATTTGCTCGAAACATATCGCGAAGCGGTCGGTACTGCAGTAACAAAAAAACATCACCACGTCGTTCCTTTGTAATTGGGGTATCACTCGCTACAACTCGTAGCCTATCGATATGAACATGCACACAGTTCCAAGTGTATACGACGTTGAGCCATTTTATGGGCATGGCATAGACTATACGCGTAGCTTCGAAGTTATCAACGACGAAAAGCCATCTTGTGGGCTTCGCATACCATGCGTGCCAGGTCCGTTTTGAGGAAGAGAAGACAACCTGCCGTCGCCAACTTGTGACTTGCTTCTGTCCAAACAGCCACATTTTTTGTGGTAATAACACAGTGAACAGCGCAGAGTTGACCAGTGTACCATAGGCATCTACATTTCTCGTAATAGCAGCGCAGAGTTGACCAGTGCTGCATCGACAGCCATTTGTCGTAAAACAGCGCAGAGTTGACTTCGTAGGCAGCTCCAACCGGTCCACCCAGCTAGTCACGTCCTGGGTGCGCATTTTTAGGTTAGGTTTATACAACAGACACCGCCCGGCAGGCCGTGGCCGTACGCGATGGTCATGGACCATTACTACAAAGAAGTATTCGTGCAAATGCCCTCTCCCTGCAGACAGTGAAGGGACAACGGGAAGGACAAGAGGAAGGTCTTTGGCTAGGGAGAGGGAGGCCAGAGCTTCGAGTGGTGAAGGTTTCGCAACCGGAAGAGTAGCGACACGGCTCAGACACCCTCGAGACCCTGCCTCACCCGAGACCGCATACAGGTATATATTTGTCGGGGTTAAGTTTGGCATACATGTGAACCTTTGTACCTCTCACGAGACGGAAAGAGCATGCACCCCTTGCCGAGTGATGCGACCGCGTGAGCCCTCAAAAGTCTCCACGTTAACGGTATCCTTTCTCTCCCCTCTGAAAACGCTCGATTTATTGAGCCAGTAGAAGAGACTCGTAGATGAACTACCCAACAGTGCACCAACGGGTGATTCATCACTTGTCTTGACCTTCCTCGATCCCAAAATGCAGAGGGGTGGTTGTGCAGCCGGTTACCTTCTGCCGACTCCTCTAGTTCCCCAGGTCCTACCCGCCTAAGCCATCCTCGTTCCGCGTATTCCTGCCTCTACTCCATCCTGCCTCTTCTAGGAACACGAAATGCTCCCAAGCATCACTGACAAGCACGTCCTACCCGCTCCCACACACATGAGTGAGAGAGGTAGAGGGGGGAATCGCATGCATGTACCTAGTTGAGCACCCGCCGGAGATGCCACCGGCCGGAAAACGAAAAAAGGAAAATACGAATATGCAATGTAGAAGCAGCCGAACGCCAACAACAACAACAATAATGCAACGCCACGCGCGTGATTTAAAAGGGCTGACAGAGACTACGCTGCCAACTGTAACTGCAGGAAGGTTAGGTGGAACTCGGGGGCAGCACGGCGAGCATCGAACAAGGATATCTCCCCCGAAACCTCGCCTGCGGGTGTCTCGACAATAGTACAATCCCGAGGCTGTTGCTTCGTGCCTGGCGTATTGCTTCCTCTTTTAACGCAACCCAACCCGTGCTCTGTCGTGGCTAAGCATGCATGAGAAGGATTCTCCCCCCTCAATCCTTCCCGTACTGTGCAAATGCACTTTCCTTACCGTGTCTTCCCCAGAAATGCCGTCCAAGCGTACCTGTCACCAATGCTAAAGTCCCACAACAGCGGCGGAGGCAACAGCGACAGGTCCCGTCGGCACACCCGAAGCCTAAGCCCAACGGCTGGGCAGCACCGCAGCCGGTGGTGCTCCCCCACGGCACCGGCAAGTGGACCTGGCAACATCAACAGCGTTCATGGCAGCAGCGGTGTTGTTGGTGCTGGTACGGTCTCTTCAAGTCCCAAGACGGGTGTTGCCGAAAAGGGAGGAGTTCCGCCGCTTTTGCTTGCCCCGTCGGAATGGGGGATAGGGCTTGGCGGGGAGTGGGTCTCCGCTCGAGGGACCCGCATGGTCCGAGGTTCGTTTTCGCCGGGAAAATGTTTACTTCGGAGTGCGTTTTGCCGTGCACACTCTCTGATTCAAGCCTTGTCTGGTGGACCAAGCTTCCCCTACAACCTACGGAAAACTGCCATGACCCCGGCGATCGATCTCGGTTGATACAGTTCTCCGATGATCCGATGACCGAGTTCTACGATGATTGTGTAGCAATGAATTTATCCTGCCACGCAAGTTGCTTTCGATGGCAAGTCGTCCTGCGAAAACGAAGTACTCCGATACAGAAACTCTCCCGCAGCACATGTTCCGAAAACAAATGTCAATCCGGCGACAATGATCGAGAGGGTCAGCGGTCGGTCGCAAATAGAACACACGATAACTGCACCACGTTCCAGAAAAGGGCAGGTTTTGTTTAAGGCGTAGACAAAGGCGCAGACGAAATAAACCGAGGTTCATTGAAACAGCTCGAATTGCCATACTGTTTATACTGGGGTGCCCGGAACGTATTGCGTACTGCGGGCCCCCCTCGGTCGAGAGAAATATTGTTAAACGCAATTCGAGAGAAAACAATAAAGAGCGCTTGAGAAACGTGTTCATGGTGCAATCCGTTGGAAGGTGACATCGATTTTATGTATACAAGACATCTGGTCTTGCGACCATAGTTTGGGACAGCTCGCTCAATCGCGTGCCTCCCTCGGCGGAAAACATGTCTTTCCCTCTAGTTTACAGCAGGTGAAATTTGCTAGTTCGTTCGCGCGCGACGGGTTGAGTAATGCATGTAACCTCGCAAACACCTACAGTACAAGTCCCAGTTTAGTACCCAGAAAATTTACTGGCACCATACCGTACCGGCAATGTTCAAATTACTGAGAATGACTTGCAAATTCAGCGTGTGCCCCCCGAAAACACCGGCACCATACCGAGTACCGGCACTATTCAACCGGCACTAAACAGGGACCTCTACTGTGTTGGCGGGTGTCTCAAAACAAAATTACATCGTGCCTGGCTTATGAGTGTCTGACGTTTTCTCGCGGGTATGTTCCCTTGGATCGTGTTTTTATTTTGTGATGCAGCCTCCGGTCGAGTCTCGCTCACATGGTCCGATATCCGGGGCAACACGCTTCTTCACCTCGCCGCGCAGCACAATGACATCGCTCTAGCCGAGGTAGAGAAAAGGGAGAAGGGGCTGTGATCCTCTCCCTTGGGGGTCATCTTCGATGTCGTTGTTGTCGTTGTTGTCATTGTTGCTGTTGTTGCTGTTGTTGTCGTTGTTGCTATTGCTGTTGTTGTTGTTATTGCTGTTGTTGTTGTTGTTGTTGTTGTTGTTGTTGTTGTTGTTGTTGTTGTTGCTGCTGCTGTTGCTGTTGTTGTTGTTGTTGTTGTTGTTGTTGTTGTTGTTGTTGTTGTTGTTGTTGTTGTTGTTGTTGTTGTTGTTGTTGTTGTTGTTGTTGTTGCTGCTGCTGCTGTTGCTGTTGTTGTTGTTGTTGTTGTTGTTATTGCTGTTGTTGTTGTTGTTGTTGTTGTTGTTGTTGTTGTTGTTGTTGTTGTTGTTGTTGTTGCTGCTGCTGCTGCTGCTGTTGTTATTGTTGTTGTTGTTGTTGCTGTTGTTGTTGGTGTCATCTTCTTTGTCACCATCATCGTCACCACCCCCCTCGTCGTCCAAGTCTTCACATAAGAAATCCCCTGACCTCTCGAACAACCACTGGTTTCAACCGGATTGTGGAAGAACGGGTAAAGCTAACACTGTAGAGACACGCAGAATGCAGAGGTTCTGGGGGATTGTGTACGAGTACTTGGTCATCACACAGGCACGCCATGCTTTCGTGCGGGATAGCTATCACCTCTGCGCGTGTCTGGGTGTCTGTCTGTACGTCCATCTGTCTACCGTCGTGCCCCCTGGATCGTTCTCTACTGAACTTGGTCTGCCGTTCCGTGGTTGCCGCTCGTTGTTTGTCTCGCGTTTTTCCTGCTCATCATTCTCCACGCAGGCCGTGTTGGAGTGCGAGGAAAGAAGAAAAAGGGCCCTGGAGAAACGAGACAGGAGGAGAGAACGGGTTCTGGTACGTTTCCCAGTGGTGGTAATCCAAACACCGCCCCAAAGACACGAGAGCCCGTTTCTCTGATTCTCCCCTTCGACAACATTTCCGGATGGGCTTTGCTTCTATACTTGTTCTACGGCAGCGTTTCTTGAACTTTCCGCTCTTTTGTGACCTCAACGCCCACGTGACCACGAACGTCTGTAGTCCAATCCAACCATTTTCTATGGGGGAAAGCTGACGTGGCGCGACACCATGCTTCACCAGGGGGTGGCACTGACCACTAAGCACGGTGCACCCAACTACCCGCAACTGCTTTGCCCTGCAATTCCTCCGCACCTTCTCCGTAAGAATTTCCCCGCAAGTCCCTCCCGAAGTCTGTTCTCACCGATTTCTTAATTCTCCCGTCGCCCTCTCTCTCTCTCTCTCTCTCTCTCTCTCTCTCTGGCCCTCTCTCTCTGTCTAGAAATACACATTCGGTGATCAACGTGAAGACAACAACAACGACAACAGTAACACAACCTCCGAAGAAAGACCTAATCTATCGAGACGACATCCCATTCTCTTGGACAGGAGCGAGCGCGGCGGTGGAACGAGAGGACCCTGAAAGAGGCGGCAGACGGAAAGCTAGCGGTAAAGCCACCCACGCTCAAGAACAAAGACATACTAAAGCGCATCAAGGTGACTTCGATTCGCGGCACTACAAACCCCACTCCAAGCCTACCTCACGCCGGAAAAAACCTTCAGGCGGACTGGTGTGGTGCTGACACAAATCCCTGGGTAGCAACAACGGCACGTTGTCGCGGTGATGGGACTGATCTCTACCCCAATAGCTAGTCCTAACTATTTAGCTTATCTTCAGAGAGGTTCTACGATGAACCGGCTGGTCCAGGTGGCGAAACTCGCCTAACTCAACCTCAACTTCCAGCCGTAGCCCTGACTGAGGACAGAGACTGTACCAGGTTTTGAGGTGGATTTTCGCTGAAAGAGAACATTTTCCAGCTGTTTCGCCCCAAGCCTAGCCCTTGTCCCGCGTCTTAGCTCTACCGCTCCCTGGCTCACCCTCTTAATCGTCTGGTGCTTGACGGAGGCTTGCTGTCGCTCTGCGCAACCCCAGCCGTCCGCATCGAAACGTACGAGTTTTTAGAATGGTTTCACATACAAGGACACTAACAACAACAGCAACAGCAACAACAGCCACACACTACCAACCCGAAGGGAAACGCTGATATCTACACTGTGTGTCATATTTGCTTTCAGCAAGAGCGGGCGGAGCAGGAGAAAACGACCAACTTTGGAGCCAACACGCCCTCTGCTGGTGCTGGTGCCGGTGTTCCCGGTGCTGCTAGCGGCGGAGGTAGCGCGGGATCATCGAACAAGGTGAATTTTGTCCGTTCGTTGTACATCTAAGGCAAATTTCCTTTTCCACGCTCATCGCTGATTCGTTTTTTTCGGGAAATCCCACGGTGTGTGTTTGTATTCCTCCGGACATCATCGCGTGTTTCGTCCCCTCTCGTCCGAAAAACAAAAAATCACATTTATTTCTGTGACCGGTTCAGAGGCGACCATTCTTTACCTTGTTTTTGACCACGTGAAGCCCCAGCATGGACGAACACGTACGTACTTGCTTGCCGGAGCAAGGTTCCGATCTCGAAAAACAGACGTCCCGTTTCCGCCCTAATACACCGCAAGAGGCGGAAACATAGCACCCCCGGTAGACTGATTTTCAATGCTCGATTGCTCCACAACCAAGACTGTCTGTACCGTACCGTACACCGTACCGTGGTATTCCGTAAGAGGCGGAGAGATGGCGCTCCTCCTAGACCGATTGTCAATGCTCGATTGCTCCACAACCAGGCTTGTGCCAACTCCAACAATGGTGACGTTTGAAACATCTCGTCAAGGGATTTCCATGGAAGTATCGGGCTCTCCCCGCACCCCCTTGTTTGTGGGACAATCGAGCTTTGATAATCGGTCTACGGGGTGCGTGTGTGTGTGTGCTCATAGCCGTGCATGCCGTAGTCTTTTGACCATTGACCTCGCATCCCTACAAAGCCGGGACGGAGCACGCCGGGTTCTCGCCAGACCAGGCTCTCACACCACCAAGCGCGAAGCGCCGTGAGGTGTTCGGCGAGTCGCCGATCGGTCTAGGGGGGGTGTCATCTCTCCGTCTCTTACGGCAATGCCCCAAATGTTGCGTCAGTCCGCACGTACGCCCACCCGTGATCCCATTTGTATACCCGTCCACCTCTGCTTCGCCCAGCACGCGGAGGAACTGTCAACACGATCAGCATCAGCCAATGGCGACAGTGGGAATGACTCCCTCATCGGATGTGAAGACTGGCTGCCGTTGCTGCCTAGTCGGGCATCTCGCCACGATGGCGATAGTGGTAGCGGCGACCACGGCGTGGGGGACGCGCAGAGGGGAAGAGGGGAGGGGGGGGACTTGTCTTCGAGCCGCAGACGGGGTGCCGCCGTCGTTCAAGCGCTCAGGGCTGTTCTTGAAGAGGCGCACATACGGCAGGTGCGCAGCGCATGGATTAATATCTTGTGCGACGTGCCATATCGTCTGGGCGTCAGTCTAAACCGCCTTTCGGTGTATTTTCAGGAAGCATCAGGCGGGGTCACGCTGGAAGAAGGCAGACACACTGGGCTTGTTATTATGTGCGCCGTTAAATCGCGTGTTCTTCGACAGGCCTTGTCCCTGTTCGTGGGTTTAGGGTTCTTTTGTTGTTCTGCTCTTTGTTTTATGTAAATGTAAACGCTTCGTCCCACTTGACCGCTTCCTCTCTGGTAAAGCGATCGTCTTGCGTCATGGTTTTCAGAGCTGGGAAGGGATGGAAGTGTGCACGTCTTCCGCAACGGGTACTTTTTCGGGCATCGCTTCCGTACACATCGTTTGAAGCGCATCCTCTCGACCATACGGCCTACTCCCACACCACCCGCCGTACCTGTTCACTTCGCACACACTGCGCTGTTCTTCGTTTTAGTCGGTTTCTCGACCTCTCAGCGCGTGATGAATATCGACGATAACCCACTCGCTCAATTTGCTCTTTTTTTCTCATCATTGCACTTCCTCATGCCGTCACTGGTGCATGTGTCTCGAATGGCTGTAGATTGACGACGCACTAGGGATGGGCCTTAACGTGTCGTAGTATTTAGCGCTTGATTTGCGTCTATGTTGGTTTGTCATCGTGATATTGTTACTGCGATTTGCCCCTCAGCAAAGAGCAAACACACTTGGCGGGAACAAGCGATCATATTAGCAGCTAGCTCGTTTCTGCATTCCGTTGTCGCTGTGATTTTCTAGCGGCTTTACGTGCCCCCTCCCAACATTGTGTGGTAAGATTACTTCGCTACGCTTCCCGCCCTTAGCTCGTGAACAGTAGGAGCCGTGCACGACTCATGCCCCCCCCCCCCTTTCGCAGACACCCGACAACAACTACGACAACCCTTCCCCCCAACCCCAACAAAAGAAGCACTTTGACGTCGATGAATCATGGCGACAATGACACGTGCGGCCGTTTCACAGGTGGTGAGGCTTGCTGGCATGTACCTGGAGGGAAACATGAACGAGGCGGAATGGTACCACCGCACGGGGGTAAGTAGGCCAACAAGCGACAAGAGAAGCCAGCCCTGTGTGTTCCTGTAGAGTTGATCGACTGTACCTGAACCAGACATAGCGGTGGTGTTGCCGAACAAAAGCGCACCTTACGCGAGTAGCAGGGAGAAAAAAAGACCGATGCTTGTGGCATGTAACCTTCCTTGCGGGCCTTGTTGTTGTACGTCTTTTGGGGACGAACGACTCGCATCGTTCCGCGGACCGCGCGGTGAACGAGCGTGCTTCCGTTTCCTTCACCAATCCCTGCTCCACGTCGGTTGAGACGAACGTGGAGGACCGATCCCATGGCACAGAGCTACTTCGTGCGGGGACTACGCGAGTGACTGCTGCTGCTGCTGCTGCTGCTGCTGCTGTGCTGCCCTCGGTTCGAGTGTTCGGGGTTGCACCAGCTAACGTATCCAAAACATTAAAAACGACACAAAATTTCAAGGCGATTCTACCGACGGGTGTATCGATGGAATTGCTGGTGAAGATCGGCGCGGCACACCCGTCCGATACCTTCCGCCGGAAGCAGGCTAAGGCTGCCATCCAGGTGTCCCTTGTGATATGGATGTTTCCTGCGAATGTCTTGCTGATGTTGGCGCAGTGTCTGCTGATGTTGGAGCAGTCAGTTTTGACGTTGATGCCGGTGTTGACACTGACGTTGTCATCGTTAGTGGTGTTGCGGGAGATAGATGCTTAATTTTGCGCTTTGGAGCTGGGGTATCGACGTTCCGTTGATGCCAAAGTTGGTCGCGGTGCTTTTTTGACTATCGTGCTTCCGTTGGACTTGGTGCTTATATGCATGCCCTTAATTCCCTTGGTTCTTCTGATGTTGAGACCAGAACAAGACATGTGACACCCCCCGTGTGACGCCAAGCACTCCAGGGGAGTTCTACGACCCCCCTCCCGACTCGCCGCGTGTGTATTTGTATGTGTTTGTTTCCGTCCCAATCTATTCTGGGCGGCAGTTTGCCACACGGGGGTTACCCACCCTTCCTCCTGCTGCGCCTACTCCCCAACTTGTTTTTCACGAGCGAGGTGGTTTTGCAACATTTATTTATTTTCGTTTTTATGTGACTATGCACTGAAGTAGATAATATTTCCTGTTACACAACGGAATAAAAAATGGCGCTTTGGTGTTGTCCAGGAAAGCGTGACACAACGCCCCCCCTTAATCGTTCGAAAAGGACTATGCCGAGGAGGAGAGGAGCACAGCCGAGGGGGGGTATTGGATGGACAGAGGGATCAAGGACGCCCTGGATCTAAACGCGAGGAACGTGAGCAAAATCACACGACAAGCAGTTGCAGCACGAAACGCCACCAATAGAAACAAAAAACATGCCATGCTACAGACGGGGGTGAATCGTTATTATGGCCTCAACTCCAGTTAGCGATAAAGGTGTGCCGGGTAGTGTCACGTTCTCGTCCTGTTTGCAGAGGAAACGATGTATGTCAGCCCTTTTTTCAGCTAGCAACAGGAGACGAAGAGACAGAAAGCTAAAACTGGAGTGGAAATTTCATAGCGACAGGTACGGTAAGAAAGAGAGTGCTTCCCGAACGCTCAAAACGTATATTGTACAGGCCGATACATCTCTGTCTGTCGGCCGAGCAATGGGACCACAATAAAATACAAACGATGAATTTATTCGAAATATTGTATGCCTGTTACATAGGCCTGATGCGGCGTAGTATTGCTCCGGCGATAACAAACAGCACGCAACAAGAACATGCGTTGCGTTGTTCCTGTCGAGCAGCGGCTGACGGAGACCCCGCTCATCCTTGGCGCGCAAAACGCCTCCATCGAGGTGGTGGCGGCACTCCTGGAGGAGCCGGACACGGACATCGTAGCCGTGAACGTGAGAGCAGAGCATAAAGTTTGAGGGTTATCGTTGTTGTGTCGACAAGAACGAATGGAGCAAGAAGCTAGGCACGACCCCGCAATAGAAGTCATACGGTACGGTAGTGAGAGTAGTGAAGCACGGGTAAGCGTCATCCAATCATCCAATCATCCAATCGGAGGAAGGGTAGAAGCAGAAAACGACAAACAAACATCAAAGCCAACATGCATGCAACTCACGCCCTTGTCGTGCGACGGTTGTTATTGTTGATGATGATGATTATGATACAGTGTGTTGTTTGGCAATCTACGGAGCATTTGTGTAAAAGGGGGGCCACCACAGACGAGGCAAACGAAATAATACCAAAGTCGGTCGATATTGTAGTCTTCCCGTGGTGTCTCGGCATGTACTGTAGACCATGCACTTATCAATTGAAACCTTCCCTTCTCTCTCTGCCAATGGATACACGCAAAGCTATAGGGAAAATGAGAGTGAACAAACATCAACACCATGTTAAGACCTGCCTTTTAGGTGTTTTCTATTGATGCTGTCGTTCCTCCCGTTAATGTAGTTGTTTTTGTTTTGTCGTGTTACAGGAGGATGGGTGTACGGCCCTGGTGCTAGCGGCCATGCTCGACAAGACCGAGGTTGTCAAGGTGCTCGTCGCGGCGTACGTCGCAAGGGGACAGGGGGTCGACCACCGAACGGTAGGTAGGTTAGGTTTGACGATGATACCGTTGTCGTTGTCGTTGTTGTTGTTGTTGTTGTTGTTGTTGTTGTTGTTGCTCGTGTTCGTAGATACCTTTGGTACACTAGACACCGTAGCGACCAAAAACCGATCACTATCCCGCAGAAGGTAGCGTTGGTCGTAGGACGCGCATTCGGTCAGGGGCATGCGCACATGTTGCAGGTAAACAAATAGATGGAAACGGACTAAGCGCCCGAATGGGAGAAACGCCGTATTCTTATTCGGAGTACGAACGGTGCTTCCTACGTCTCGAGAAGGGCACCACGGATGGCTAAGGTGGCAAATGATACCCCTCGTTCCCTGTACCTCGCTTCAGCTAGCTAGCTCCGAGGGGAACGTTGTTGTCCTTGTTTTGGGCCGGGGGGCGTGGGCACCCTCCGTCACAACGCACATAAGAAGAGCTTGGAGAAGTCCAATACTTCAGGCTCGAAAAATATTAGTTTTCAGAAAGGCTTGGTTTTAGATGCTCGAGAAACACTCCATCGTGAGTGTCGGATGATGTTGCTACGCGGAACGAAAGTGTTCTGTGTGGTCGGTGCGTGTGCTAAGAGGGTGTTTTCTCCTAAGGTTTCGCCGTACACCTTGGAGGTTTGTTGTCTGGGTACTGTACTCGCCAGACACTATCTGCTCTCAAGACGTCCATTTTGCTCGACTTCGAGTGGGAGCCATAGCTTTGTGTATTGACCCGCTTTATCGAAGCCCTTCATCCATCCGACGTGTCACCTGGGGCGTAGTCTGACGGGCTGTTTGCACACTCGTGGCTTTGTGATATTACTCTTTGATCACGTTGGTGTTATTACGTTTGGGTCCCTACTTCTCCTATCGGTAGCTAGCCTGTAACCACGGACGGAAAGCAGATCGGGTTTAGAGCAGAGATTGGAACGGATATACACGTGACGACGACAACAACAGCAACAGTGACATCAACCTTTCTACCTCTCTTCTTCGGCAACGCCGCCACTTCAAAGAGGCCAGAAATCAAATGCCTTGGGGAAGTCAATGTCAACGATGAGTGCCCCCCGCCCGTGTCCGCTTGTCCTTGCCTCTTGCGCCCCCCTCTCCTGCAGGTGAACGGCTTCTCCGCTCTCCACTGGGCCGTAGTGCGAGGAAACTCGGACATAGCCGTGGATCTGGTAGATGCGGGGGCAGCGATAAACACCGGGTACGTGCAAGGCAAGGCGACCACGCCGCCTCCGCCGATCTCGATCAGGGATCCATGCGGGGTTGCCGTTGACGGTCTGCCCTGGTTGACCGACTGCCGCCATGCGTCTTGCCGCGCGGTCATGGGCATTGCTCGCCTGCTCCTCCCCCGTTGAAAAAAGCTCGGAATGCTCGGTGGAAAACCGTGTTCCACGCGGTGGAGTAGCTGATGTTTTGGGGGGAAATTCACTTGCTGTTGGAGGCGAGCCCCCAGGTACACTAGAATCCCCCGCCTATGATTGGGCGGCCAGGCAAGGCGCCCAATGCCATGCGCGGGGAGCCATGTGTGCAAAATTGACGTACATTTTCGCATTTTGTTTGGGGAAAAGGGTTGCCGAAACCCGCTTCTTGCGAAACCAGCTTGAGGGCATGGGCAGCAGACGAACCCTAGGCAACACAGCCAAGCTGCTGTTATAATAGCATGCACCGGAAGGTGTAGTCAAAGCGTAGCCACGGGATCCAGAGTACAGTAGATGGCACCGAACGTGTGATGACAACGAACATGTTGTGACATCGAAGAGGCGAGGAGGCCAGAGAGTTTGACGTTTTTCTCCAAAGAGTACGGCGTTTTTTCTCTCCAGGGTTTCCCCCCGAACGGTGACTTGATTCGTGAGGTGAACGTACGAGCGACACCGCCCTGTCAGCCCCTGACTAGGAACCATATATCAGGCGCAAAACTTGAATGCATCACGTTGCCCCCCCCCACCCCTTCTTAACCTCGGGATCCGGACCGGGTGGGGCAGGAGGACCGAACCGCGGCTAGCCCTGTGGCGACTGCCTATCCACAAGTGTGCGGAGTACGGGTCGACAGACTGCCTTGAGATCCTCCTTAAGGCCGGGGCGGACCCTTGCGTGGAGGACGTGAGCCTGGCATATATGAGATCATTTTTTCCCCTTGCTTTCCTTATGGAGATTGCGACGGGAGCGGGCCTCTCAGCGGGGGGCTCGAGAGAGTATCAACTTCTTTACTGGCACCATCACCTCTCTTTTCCTCTCCTCTCTCCTCCTCCTTTTCGCCGCATTTGTTTTGTTTCTCTCCGCTCCTTGTTTGTTGTTGTTGTGTCTTTCTTTCCTCCACTAGCTGTCGTTGTTGTTTACAACTCCTCCGAATTTTCGTCAATTTTTGGCCTCCTTGCGGCTTGTTCAAAAACGAAGTAACACTTGCGGTGTTTCACATCCTGTTGTTGCGATGTGGTAACCACATACCTTTTCTCCTCACCGTTTCCGTTGTTCGTCCCAAGCCTAGACTACTTGTTGTTCGCCTTGTCGATACAGGTAGCGCAAGTAAGACGTTCGTTCTTGCCCCTGCAGAACGTGTGTTTTCAAGAGGCTACGGTTGCTTTGGAATGTGGTGAACCAACATAGTAATAGGTTTACCAACTGTGAAGATCGTGAACAACAACCCAACAATATTAAGGTTAATGGCAACCTCGTTGCCCTTCTTCCTACTTTCGTGTTCTCTTGTGTCTCTCCTCCGTGCCTCAACCACACCCAACCGGCTACGGCACCGCGTATCCTGTCGAAGAAACTGGGGATGACACCGATGCATATCGCGGCCAGCGCCGGGTTCCTCGAGATAATGCGCATTCTTGCCGCTGGCGGTGAGGATAACGCCGCGGCTGTGAGCGTCAACATTGTCAGCAAGGCAAGGCAACGCATATTATACAAAAATAACACATCTTAGTCTTTTGTATCGCAGGGGACGGGGACACAGACTCACCCGAGGCATTCTTCATGCTACTAGCGACTACGCACAGAGTACATCGAACAATACCATTTTTTTTGGCTCAGGCGGATGGGCTTATGTATGTAGGTCTATGGGAATCACTCCGTGATCTTGGTGCTCTCGACCTAAAGTGCACCACCAACGCGAGTGATGGAGACAAAACAGGCGCTAGCTCAGGCCATGGACTGGATCGTTTGCGATAAGCTCTCTCCGCTCTGTCGATACAATCATGTCTACAGCACGAACAATGAGAGTCCGCGCTCGACATAAGTTTCAGAGGCTGGGCGGCCGGCCTCCGTGAAACAGGTCGTTTTTCTCCTCGTCCTTTCTCTCATTATTGTCGTCGCCCATTCGGATTTGGACTGGATCTTTTGGCCGGCAACCCTCCTGCTTCGATCAACCACGCTGTATCGATAGCATCTGTCACGGTGTCTGTCTCGCTCCTTTCTGCTTATAGATAACAACTTGTCCCCAGCCACCCGTTGGCGGTTGCCTCACGCAGCCCACCGGTATTCTCGAAATCGGCCAGTTTGACGCAAACGAATCTCAGAAGCAATCAATAGAGTATTTCGTATTCCGTACTCGCTCGTCACTCACTTGCTCCTATGCATAACACAAGCCATTCATCCCCCGGTTTTCAGAAGAACGGCAAGACACCACTCCACTACGCGGTGGAATCCCTGCAGCTGGACGTGGTGCGGTTTATCCTAGGTCGCGACAGGCGTGGTGGTGGTGGTGGTGGTGGTGGTGGTGGCGGTAATGATCCCAGCGAGCGAGAGAAGAGGGAGGCGGAAGGGATAAAGCTCTTGGACGCGTCGCAACGATCGAAACTCGAGGTGCCAAGAAGAGCATATCGTGCGTGTTGGGCGTGAAGTGCTCGTAGAATCGTCATCCCTACTGTATTGATTGCTGGTTTTGGGCCAAGCGGGAAAAAGATTGCCGGACGTTGGTTGCAATAATTCGACCTTCGATGGTTTTCGAAGAGTTTTTGTTTGGTCGTTGTTCCAGAATGCTTGGTCTTGGCTCCAACATTTGCTTCGGTTCATCGGTTTCCAGAAAAGAGTCAGGCGGAACTCAGTTCTGCTTTACTACCGCATAGACTATTTAGTGTAAGGCATAAAAGACTATTTAGTGTAAGGACTACCTACAATATGTGACAAGGGGAAACACAACAGCAAAAAAAGAATTTGCGAAGGATGCGACAATGTTTGTTTGTCTCTTCGTTTCTATTTTCTTTCTCACGCCCCCGTCTGCGTGGGGATGCACATCGAATCGCCTCGTTGTTGCTGCTTCATCGTAGCTACATGCGTCCGTGGTAGAGATGTTACTTCTTCAAGGTCTGTACCTGATATGTATGGAAGAAGCAAGCATACATTTTGGTCAAAACATCAGGTCATCAGTGTTCAACGGGTCGTCCATGTCTGTAGGCAAATTACACCGTCTGTGTGGTCTGCACAGGGAGCTAGAGAGAACGAGCTACCCCTCTCTAGCCTAGAACTTGTTCAGATAGATGCAGACTACGTGTATTCGATAGCCCTTGAAACAGGGGCGAACAACAAGTAAGCGCCAAAATACCGCGCGCGCCCTTCCTTTCCGCCCAACACTCGCTTAGGTGATGCTAGAAGCTGCCGCAAAGGAGGAGCGGGGAGTGATCGCTTCTGGCATCGCTTCAATATCGGAGTTCGTGCAGCAGGTCTTCTTGTAGTCGTTTCTTCACAGGGAGTATCAGCTGCTGTTGTGTTGTTTGTCGACCGACCGCTACTCTGCGTGGCGCCATCTGTAGTGCATTTCATGATGATGTTGCAAGATGTTGCTCAATTTTTTTTTGGTGCCCAAAATTGTAGTAACCACCGCGCTCTTCGTTTACCGTCGACGTTCGTCTTGTATACTGTAGTTCGATAGAACATAATGCATTTCATGTACTTCGTAGTAGTACACTGCACCACACGAAGGTGAGGTAAACCAGATATTTCCCTTAACAGCGAGGATGATCTTTACATTTGTAACGCGCCTACTTAGGCAAGGCCTGTTTTTTGGTAGTTGGCTTGTGCATTACGCCATGGATTTTGCTCGTTTGATTGTTGTTGTGTTTGTAACCACCGCGTTCTTGTTTGCCAGTCGATATTCTTGTCGTAGAGGTTGATAGAACAGGTGAGGGTAAAACAATACAGTACATGTATAGCTGCACCACACGAAGGCGGGATCAACCAGATATTTGCATAAACAACGAGGATAATCTTTACATTGGTAATACGTGCCCATTTTGGCAAGGTTTGTGTTTTGGCCTGTGACCACGGAAGGCGGCCGCGTCAGTTGGACCGATGATAGACTATGCGCGTTAGGAGGTTACTGAGCAAGGACCGGGACGGTTTTCAATGCGAAGAAAACAACACCAATCAGAGGTTGAGAGCGAGAGGGAGGGAGCGAGAGAGAGAGAGAGAGAGAGAGAGAGAGAGAGAGAGAGAGAGAGAGAGAGAGAGAGAGAGAGAGAGAGAGAGAGAGAGAGAGAGAGAGAGAGAGAGAGAGAGAAAGAGGCAGAGAGAGAGAGAGAGAGAGATGTTCCACATATGAACGTTCCATGGGAAAGAGGAAAATATACTCGTCGGACAGAACAAAATGCAGTTTATTGATGTAACTGTGTTCGGATTGTAGTTTACTTGTTCGGAAACCTGGCGTCACCAGGGGAGGAAATTAGAACTTCCTGCCATTCCGTTGAGAAGAAAGCACGCAGTGGTTGTAGCAAGTTGAGTGACGAACGGAAGCTGCAGAGCGTGTGAAGAGAATGAAGGACAGTGGCCGCCCAACGTAGGCGGCGGCAGTAGAGCAAGAAATATGTGAACGCTACACACGGAAAAACCCTGCGGTTGCCCCATGTGCAACATGCTGATCATGAAGGACAACAAACACAAGCAAAACGCACACATGTGTGTGCGGCGACAGCGGCGCCTGCACATGTGGGTGGTGCGGAAAAGACAAAAAAAAAGAAGTGCATTTTGCGAAGCAGCAGTACAAACATGTAGTCATTCCACGCGGAGACGCAGGTCTCCACGCCGATCGCTGATCCCAAGAACGTTCTTGGGAATGTTCTGAAGAATGCTCTTCATCCACGCCGATCGCTGATCGATCCCCGCGAGAGAGGGAGGAACGCCGTGTGACTGACGGAAGACTCTTAACCCGACTACTAGTACAAGATGGGTGGAAAACCCACCAAAAGTCACCGCACGGACAAAGCAGGCGCGAGAGTGTCTACCATACAACCGAAACGAAACTCAGGACAAACGAAAAAAAAAAAAACTCCTCCGACGTAATACGCATGCACCCCATTTCATCCCACCTGGAAACACCCAACCAGTTCGATCGAGGTCAGCTCAAGAAATACTTGGGACAGAC